TGTTAAAAAAACTCGGGAATCAATCGCTTAAGTATCGAACTATAAAGAAATTTGAGCTGATACTTATATTAATAAGACCGATATATCGGCCTCCCTGTCTTATGTTATCTGTCTTATTAAAGCTTCAATAGGTATATTATGCTAATTGCTAATAAATGTTAATCGCCTGGGGATCGATGCTTCTAGAAATACGAGTTGATACCGATATTCTTAAGATAGAAACAACGGTCTTTCGGCTTCATTTAATCGGAATTAGTGAAATTTCACTTGGAATATTCTCTTCATTACCAACGTAACAATCAAGCGGATCGATATATTATCGATTCGATCGAAGCGAATCGAAATGTATGGTCTTGAAATATCGATATTACATTATTTAACATATTTTTATATTAATTCTGTGAAACTACAATAAATGAACTGCTCTCAAATGGAGAAAGAAATACTGCTCTCAAATGGAGAAAGAAATACTGCTCTCAGAATTAATTAAACCCATTATTATTCGTTAAAAAAATATTTCCAGTTCTGATTTTTCAAAGGTATTGTTCATGATACGCCAATATTATGAAAACGGGTCGTTCAATTTGACTCAAGGTTGGAAGAACTTCGGAAAAATGTGTTTAAATGGTCTAGCATCAATTTCGTCAAATTAAATTCGACAATGAAAATTAATCTCAATGAAACTAATTGCTTAGAATATAATGACTGTCAAAGGTGGTTTCAGAGAACATATAAAAATGGTAGTTTAGTTGGTACTAAGGATGGGCGATGGTCGATAGTTCAGTAACTTCCCAACACAGACTTAAAGAAGATTTATTTTCGCTGTATTCTTTAGTTATTTGCTTTAAAATGCTGCATAAACTTTATAATAATTAACATTTATGTCAGATATATCCTTAAATATTTATGTTAAGGCATTAAAACATTATTAAATAAATAATTTAAAAAAATATATTGACGGGAAAATACATTTATATAAAGAAATAAATTGCATTTATTTGTCTAATTGTAGAATTCAAACAAGAAACATTGACGACGTATATGTACTATATTTATATAACAATTTAGTAAAAAAAAAGAGGCGAAAAATGCCTAGGTCTTTTAATTTCTAATATTATAAATTTATTTATATAGTAGCACCTATTTTAAAATATAATAAAACTATAATGTCACCCTTTTAGATTTTATAAATATATTTTTGTTATGGAAAAAAAGGGAGGTAAATGTGACATTTTGTTTTCCATTGGCATAACTGGAGGTGTAATAATATTTATAAGAAAGCAAATTTGATAATAAATTATTTGTTGGAGGTGAACTGAAAACTGGAAAAGTGGTATTAGGGCCACTGGTTTCATGATAAAAATGCTGAAATAATTTATATTTCCAATATTTCTTCTCTTAATAAAATGTACCAGCCTTTTGTACATTTTAAACAGCATAGAAAAAATTCAAATGTATAGTTATATATTTTCCACATTCCGTTTCCCTCATTAGACACAATCACCAGTGTCCAATTATTAAGGTATATTTTTCTTGTTATTTTACTTACGCTAAATGAAAAAAAAAACTTTTTTTATTTTTATTAAAGCTTTAACAGTGAAGGATTTTCAGTAACTTTATTATTTGAACATGGAAGACATATAGGCACTATTATTTCAATTATTTGGTTAAAAAAGGAGGCGAAAAATGTGTCCTTTAATGTCTAAGATTCTATCTAAATTTAATTTGATAATAACGCCAAGTTTAAAATATAATAAAACTGTAATGACATCCATGTAGATTTTATAATTATATTTATTTTGTGAAAAATAAAATAAAAATGGTGCGATAATGTAACATTTATTCTACCGGCACAACTGGAGTAGTAAAAATATTTCTAAGGAAGTAATTTGAGATTCAATTATTTTTTGCCTTAAAGCTTTCTTCTTCCATCTTATTTATTAATGATATTTACAACCGTATTAAAGAAATAAATTTAGTAAATTTGAAAATATGGATATAATGACGTGAAACACTTGTTGAGAAACCACCCAATGGTAGCACTCTAATAATATTTCTAAATTAGGAGATCACGGGGCCATCTTCTTTTTAGACGCCTTGGAGGGTTATCAGTTATGCAAGAAGAAGCAAGGTTAGATACGAGAGGATTGGGATGGTTCTGAAATTTATTATGGAAGGATAGGTTTCTGGATTGGGCTAGATCTGAAACATAAGAAACATTAAGGTTATTATGGATGGTTTTATTTGTAACAAAGTAGAGAGCATTAAGGAGTTTACGAAGGATTTTGGATTGTAAGGATTGGATACGAGAAGAATTCGATGGTTTAGTGGAGCCCCATTGCTCAATTCCGTAAGTTCAAATAGGCCGTATTATAGTCATGTATATGAGTCTTTTATAATTAATTGGAAGTTTTTTTTTTTTTTTAATGAAAAAATAGTTTTATTCTGGGACTACTGTCCCCTAAGAATAATAACAGAGTTACAAATTTATGGGTCTTAGTCTGACATAATAAAAATACAAACTAATTTACTGTTAATTGTTATTTCAATTGTGCAATAGATTGAAATTAAACATTGTACAGATGCAAGTAATTTTACATGTTAGGGGAAGTTTGAATGTGGAGTAGGTGTTGGAACAGGAGTTGTTTGAAGGGATTTGTGGACGAGGATTGACGCATGGAGGTAGGAAGTGAATTCCATAAGGAAGCAGCACGAATGAGGAAGGATTTGCTGAAGGAGGAAGTTTTATGGGAGGGAATATATAAGTCTATAGGTTGAGACCTAGTATTGAGAGAGTGGATAGATGAGCGTAGAGTAAGGAGTTCCAGGATGTAGGGAGGGTTTTTGGTTCTGATGACTTGGAAAAGGAAAACACCAAGGAGGAATTGTCGTCGGGAAGTAGGATAAAGCCACTTCAACTCGGTGTACCAGAGTGAAACATGTGAACGCCTGGGGATCCCGAAAATGTATCTTTTGAAACAATTCATGACTCTCTTTAGTCTCATTTCCAGCCTGGCAGATAGCCCTCCATACACCAAACAGCAGTAGTCGAAGTGGGGGAATACAAGGGAGGTTTCAACGAGCTGTCTGCTTTTTAGAGGAATACAATCACGGAATCCTAGGAGTTGTTTAAGGGCAGTTATGGATTTCGGGTAATCTGGGAAACTGGGTATGGTTATTCCAGGAGAGGTTCTGGTCAAAGGTTACTCCTAGGTTTTTGACTGTAGGGAAAAAATGGATGGGACGGTTATTGAGGTTAAGTAGAGGAAAGTAAGGAAGGGAGCTAATGAGATGTCTAGACTCGATGATAATAGCCTTGGTTTTATCTGCATTCAGCTTTAATTCATTTATTTCTGCCCCTCTGTTGATGAAGTCGATGTCCTCTTGTAGCATTCGGGCAGCCTCAGGCATCTCAGAAGGTTGAATGATTGGTATATTTGGAAATCATCGGGGGTAACAGGAGTGTTGAATAGCGTTAGGAAGGTCACTAATAAAATAGAGAAAAGGGTCGGGGAGAGTGAGGAACCCTGAGGAACATCTGGTATTAATTGAAGGGGTGATGATGGAGGTTTGTTCGGAATTGTAACTGTTTGAGATCGATTGGATAAGAAGGATATGAACCATTTTAGGACGCTATTTGATATGGGCAGGCTTTGGAGTTTGGAAAGAAGGAGCTCATGATTAACGGAATCAAACGCTTTGGAAAAATTTAAAAGAATTAGGATGGAGATTTTCTGTTTATCTATGGCGGATTGGAGGTCTTGGGTAATCCTTAGCAAGGCAGACTGGGTGGAATACTGGGAACGGAAATTAGATTGTAAAGGATTGAGGAGATGCTTTAGCTCGAGAAAGCAGTTCAACTGAGAGTGAAATAATCTTTCTAGAGGCTTGGATAGAATGGAGATGGGTCTGAAGTCGGAATCTGATGAAGGAGTTGAAACTTTGTTCTGTGGACGGACTATGGCTCTTTTCCAGTATTTGGGAAAAATGGAATTTTGGAGAGAGAAATTATGGTATGTGGATGTGTAGAATTATGTGTAGAATTAATTAAGGTGTGTGGATGTGTAGAAGTGCGGGTATTAAGGCTGGAAGGCAGAGTTTGATGACTTTAACAGGTATTTGGTCAGGACCAAAATCATTCGTTTTGGATTTTAGGGTGGCAGAGAGTAGGTCAGTAGGAGAGATATCGAGAAAGTAAAACTTATCAGGATTGAAGGGGGTTTCGGTAATGGAAAAATATGAGCGGTCAGATGGAGATGTGGATAGAAAATGGTTAGTGAAAAAAGAATTTAGCGTGTTGGGATCGACTGGGTACTCTGTGCAGGTTTTCGAGGTAACAACAGAGAGGTTCTTAAGGATTTTCCATTTGAATTTAGGGTTAGGTTCTTGGGATAAAACGTTATTAAAGTATTGGGCTTTGGCGCGACGTAGGGTCATTTGTGTGAGATTTCGTAGGAATTTAAATGTGGAAGTTCAGAGCGTTTGTCTAGTAAGAGCTGATGTAATCGGAACGGTCGAGCGGTTTCTTGTCGTTTCAGTCTGGTATGATATATCGAATTCTTTTCTTAGTGTGGCGTTTCCATTATACAATAACCGTTTTCCATTACCAAACATTTAACTTTTGCATTATTATATTATCACTATATTCCGTACATCAATAAATAGGTTAAAGAATGACGGCGTGTTATTTTAATATTATCCCTTTAAATATATAAAATCTTAATATAATTTGTGTCCAACGGAAGGATACGAACTATCAATAGTCACTAGGACCATCAATATGGCTATAGATAGTTTTAAACTATCGATATATCGATAGTAATATCGACTATCGCCCATTCCTACTTGACCCTCGCTTAGCAACCAGAATCGTAACCTTTTATGAGTTGGTAATACTTGAAACTGTAGTAAAACGTGATGGGTGATCCTTGCCGTGTGGTCCCGGCTGAGAGAATAGGGCCACCGTACCCATGCGTGTCGTAAGAGGCGACTAAAATGGGGTTTGGCTCTATGAGCCGGTTAGGGACGATGCTAGTCATCATTGATGTGCAAACAGAGCAAGTTTAACTTGTAGACATTTTACTCATCACGGAAAAAAAAATGTAACCGAAATCTGGATTTCCAATCGATAAAAATTGATCAGATAAAATATGTAATCGATAATTGTGAAATAAATAACACGAAGATGAATTATTTTCATATAGATTTAATGATTTGCCGGCAGCATGCGAAGTGCAGCCAATAATTCAGAGAAGGAAGTTTTGACTTGAATACTGCAATAAAAAAGATACAAAAAAAGAGTTAATATAAAATCCACTGGGTATTGTCATTTCAAATTGGTTACGATTTACTCAAATATTCACTATACAATGGAATGTGTTTTCTTGCTTGTATCATTCTCCCAAATCTTTTTGTCGGAACGCTTTGGGCTTATTAGGTGAGGAAAACGCGTCATCTGCAATTAGTAGATAAAATGATCGAAACAATGAATTGCATTATAAAGATTTAGTTTTTAAAAATAAATATGTTATTTTACAGTAAAAAAATATTTTTACACGAATAAGAACAAATGATAGATTTATTGTTGAGCGAGGGGCTGATTGGAGGGTAGATGGTGCTAGTACGTAAACAGAAATACATTTCGATATGTAAACTTTCTTATTTTAATTTGTATCGACGTTTTGGTATAATGTTTAGGTCTTCATCAGAGTGATAGGTGTAGAGAGGAAACCTGTAACAAGTTAGGAATAAGGATACAATTTTTTTTTTTAAATTAGAAAGATTATCTATTGACTTATATTAAAATGTACTACAATTTTGGGCAATAATAAATTTAAATGATAATACATTTCAAACAAATTATATTTACCGCTGATAACATCCTCAGCCAGTGGTGAAGTACAATTTCAATATCAAAGTATAATTTTAACTCAGAAAAGTTAATAAATAAATTTAAGTTTTAACTTGTTTCTTAAGAAATAATTACAATCTGTCTCAATTAAGGACACTTATAATAGAGTTCAGGGAGCACACATTCACACCATATATACAGAAATATAAATGAATAATAAAACTTTAATTGCAAGTATATATAATGTAATAAATTGTACATTATCATTTGGTTACCAACTTCAAACTGTTCATTTTATGATCTAACACTCTTGTAATAACGTTCGTATGATGGATTTGACCCAATAAAATAAAAACATCTGTCAGGTAAGGGCAGTTAGCTCCCACCCATTTTCATTGGTAACACAAGTATCAATATTTCAAGGTTTATAATTTTTCTTGTGAAAATAAAATCTTCGGAAAAATATTCCAGGATTAATATAAGGCGCGGATAAAACCCATCGTCGTATTTAACTATGCAATATCGACATGGCAACTTCACCACAGGATTCGTGAATAGAACTGATTTTCGTGGCTTATGTCTCGTGTTAGTTCCATGCTGATTGCGATAATCTTTTCCTTCTTCCTGTAATTGCCTTTCACAATATGTCTCCAGAGTCTCATCTTGAGAGTCGTCATAAAAAGATCGGATTCATCAGCAATATCATTTTCCCTGTCAGTTCCCTCTGTTCTTGTTTTCCTATGACGTCGAGGTGCAGTAGACTGAACACAGTTTGAAGTTCCTTCCTCTATCAAGTCATCCGGAGCAATGCGTTTCCCCGACGGCACATTAATCTTCTTCCTTCTTACATCATTTTTCTTCTTTGTGCAACCCTCCATTTTCTGTTCCAAGGATTGCATTTTGAATTCCCTCTTCATCACAAAAATTCTTTATATAGTGGTGTTTCAGTAATGACTCTCAGGATAACAAAAATGGGTTATTTTTTACAATCTGTGAGTTTAATCCAGTTAATTCTATACTTGACTGACTTTTTACTCTCCACATCCCTGAAAATATTATGAAATATAAGTAGCAGCAGTAGATATGGTACTAACCACATGGAATCAACAACAGCATAAAGTTTAAATTAAAATTGGGGTATAATTTAAGTTCTCATAAAAATTATAGTATAAATTTAAAATCCTTTTCTATTTGTTCACTGCTTACCTACATTTCACAGCCATGATATTCTTGACAGTTATTTATATTAATTCATTTCGTTAAACAGAATTTAATGAAAACTTCATCGAATCAAATCGGCTCGTACCGTTTTCAAACTATAGACGTCTCAAAAACGGCACGTTTGTAGATTCGAAAGCTGAAGCATTTTTTGAAAGTATTGGATAGAATTTGATGAAATTGATACCCACTTGATCACATATTAACCAACCTCTAACTTCCTTTCAGATTTTGTTCCTATCGAATGTGTCGAGTTTGAGATATAGGCGTATCTAAGAAAATACGTTTGCGCATATGAAAGGGAGAGTAGTGGATGGAATTCAATAAAATTGATACAGCATAATTTTTTTTTTCTCACTATACTCTTAACTTTCCTCCAAATTGGAGCTAAATCGAACAAGCAGATTTTGAAAGATAGGCATATCTAAGATAGTAAATTTATGCGCGCGTAAGCAAGAGTATCAGATAAAATGTATGCGGAACCAAGACACCGCAAAATCTCTGAAAATCTCATGAAAATCGGATAAACGGTGATAGGTGATGTGCCCGTCACATTGACTTGTCTACAAACAGAAACTGAACCAAATCTGTTCGATAATGTTTAAAACGTAAAATGCTAGTTGAAAAATTCGATTCTGAGCACAAACAATTGTTTTTTTCTCGCGCAGGAATACAAAGATTCCCAACTTTCGGAGGTGAATAAGCAGAAGATTATGGAATTAAATTATGATGTTATTATCCTTTACGTATATTTATTTATTTAAATAGTGTAACATTTATTGTCTCGCTGCCACTGAATTGGCGTAAACATTCTTTTCATTAATTCTTATTTATTTATTAATTTATAAATTGTTGTGTATATTTTTGAGATGAACATATTGATTTCTAGTATTGAATTTATAAAAACAAATCAATGATATAATATTGATTTGTAATTTCATATATACAAATTATTTGCAAAAGTAAATTCGGTTATAATTAAGACAACTTCTTGCACACCTAAGTAAATTTCATCCGTATGATCAAAATCTCAGAAGTATTGCTTAACAAGAAATAAAGAAAAAAAAATGGAAGGAGATGGTTCGGGGTGACGGTCATAAATAGGCTCTATAGTGGTAAACCTATTGTATTAAAAACCTTATTAAAAGGGCCCATTTAATAAGGCTTTTAATAAAATAGTTTTACCACTATTTATCCTATATCCGCCACCCCGGACCATCTCCTTCCTTTATAATGCAACGGTCAACTATTAAATATTCAAGGAAAAAAAATATATAAGCAAGTAAATATTAAGGAATACAGTGGTGCATCCCCCCCTCCCCAAGGCCGGTGTCGCAAGAACCTTACCCTCCCTCTCCTCTCAAGATATTTCATTGCTCATGTTTTCTTAAAAACAGAGCAAGGTAAGATAGAATTACAAAAATCGTAGATCGTATAAAATTAAACATGCTACGGTATGTTCCATATTTTCCCTTGTCCCTAAGTCTGAAAATTCATAACCCCTTTGAAATTTACCCCCTCGAAAATTCAAAAATCCGTCTAAATATACCCCCCCTCAGAAATACACACTTCATGAAATCCTACTCCTGGGCACCCCTGAAGGAATGTACCTTATGGACAGATTTTATCTCGATTCTTTTAGTTTATTATAAATTCTTACTTCTATATTATACAAGGGAGAGAAAGAAGATAAATATAAAGACGGAAAACCAAACAAGAAAGCCATCGCTGCTATACAGAAAACTTTATATAAAATCAAGAAAGAGAAGGAAACGTTAGCGTTGATAGAATCTGAGAAATAAAGAAAAGAAAAGAAAGCTGAAAGTGCGAGACAAGAACAGATTCGTGTTGCTTTATAACGTAAAAAGCAAAAGGAAAAAGGGAGGAAAGAAGTGAAGAATGCTGAGTAGGAACTTCTTAATCATAAACAAAAAACAGACAGAGCTAATGCAGAGGCTATGGCTGGGCAACTTCTCACCTCCCATCCAAACCAAGGCCTTCCTCTAAGCTTTATAAAAAGGATGAAGAAGATATTGAAAAAGAAGAGTCTGAGGATGAAGAAGATGAAAGTTCAGGCCTAACGAAAAATCCACCAACAGTAAATGTGAGAATAATTAGACTACATTGGTTATGTTCATATTTTCTTTTATTATTAGAATGGGGAGGGAGAGGGGACTGTGATATCTCGATACATATGTAGGGAGGTTATTGAAATAATAAAAGACGTTTCTTCAGTTTAATTTTTGTTTATGAATGACACTGAGGTTCCCAGGGGTACCCATTCCTTCCAAGGCAGACTGCCTATAAACCTTCCTCCCCCTCCCAAGAAATTGTATCCCTCTCTTCTTCTTAAAAAAACAGAATAAACCAAATTAGAATTTGATTATTCGTATATTACATACTATTACACATCCTGTGGTCTGTTCCATGTTTCCACTTTAATTTTGATTTGAAACTTTTCATTTTGAAAATTCATAGCCACGTCGAAATTTAACCCTCTCAAAAATTAAAGTGCCCTCCTCATTAATTTTGATGGCGAAATTTGCGCCATAAAGACCCTTTCTGGGCACCCATCATGCTTGCAAATACATGTTGTGCTTTAATATTTAAATACGTAGCAATAATCATTTGAGGACTGTAGGTTATTAATTTTAAGTTAAACAAAATGAATATTAAACATTGAAAGAATGGAACTACATAATATATCACTAATGTATCGTAGAAAAAAAAAATTAAGCTCCTTCCTGCTTTCCCTGCAATGCGCCATTGTAGACCTATCTAACCTTCTCTGTATCGAACTAACCTAATTCCCTGAGATTGTAGTTTTTAGATCCAGACATAAACTGAATATTAGGAAAACATTTAAAACATGGGCATTTACTTTTATTTCAATGAAGAATATACCTCTGTGAAATGTTTAAAAAAAAAATAAAATAAAGAAAGGCCTAATCGCGTAGATATGATGGCCACGATATAGTTACATTGATTAGATAATCGGATATTGGCAATAATATAATACAAAAGAATGGATTATAGAAAAATATTTCATTTCCAAATTCGGTAATACGGAAGTGTCTTACCTTGGAACCTCGAAAATTACATGGATCTTATTATGAATTAGGATGGTACTTATTCCAACATTAGGTTGAACAATAAATGGGCTTTTGAGATAACATGACCACACCTTAGTAAATATATTGCTTTCTACAGGTCATTTTTAGTATGTTTAAATTAACCTGTTATTAATGCATTACACTAGTTCTTACACTTCTTTTCATATAATTTGACTAGGAAAATAATTATTTGTATTTCTTTAGTCATCAACTAAATATGTAGTATCGCTAGAAAGCTTCACCAATACAGAAACGTTCACACATTTCAAAACTTCTCCCATTTGATTCAATCAAGAGAATATTAACTACAAATTTAAAGAAAAACAGTCTGTAAAACAAAATAAATATGATTTAAGGTTCCACCAGGACTAAAAATAGTGCACGTTTTATCTTGATTGTTTTCTTCTGAAGAAATTCTATCACTCGTTGGATTACTAAGTTTCAGTATTGTTTGCCCGACTTGTGGTGATGGATCTCTTGTGCTAATATAAACTGGTTGTGTAGTGCTTTTCAAATTAACGATGACAATATTCATAAGAAAATTAAATGAAATAAACGCATTTATTGTTTCCCCAAAACTCTCTAAATTGTATTTTTTAATCATTTTCATAATTTCAATAAGTTGACAAAATTAATGAATTAATGAATATACTTTTTTATGTAATACTACATTGATATATAATGATCTAAAGTTGTTCCCATGTGTTTTGTATCACACAGATACAACTATTTTATCATTTAATAATAATACTATATTTATTCTGAGGGAGTCCCTTTACAATTATACAGAAAGACATGGAGTATGAAAGATATGGAGTATATGGAGTATGAAAGATATGGAGTATGGAGTATGAAAGATATGGAGTATGGAGTATGAAAGATATGGAGTATGGAGCCTCAGAGATAAATAAACAATAACCACATAATAAATAAATAGTCATATTAAAAAAAGTTTAAGTTGCTTTCTAACGATAATCAACTATGGAAAAAAATTTAAAAAACGTGAAGTAAAAATAATTAAGAACGATCTGATAATTTATATATTTACATTAATATCTATTTATAATTGAATGGGGACTGGACGGATAAGAAATGATTGAATAGGCGGGATTCAAAGGTAGGGAGGGTATTGGAGGGACGGATTTAGGAAAGAATGGAGTTTCATAGGAATGAGGATCATCGAATAATGAACGATCTGTCGAAAGCGGTTCGGTGGGCCCTTGTATATTAATCTGAAAACCGGGAACGGGCAGTCCGGGAATGAATAGAACACTTGAAGTAGCTCGGAGATTTATAAAGGATGGTGGGATTGGATGACTTGGAAGATGCAGGATGACAAAAAATACGACAGTTGCAGAGGTGCCCATCCCCCTCCCCTCACCTTAGACGTATACGCTTAGGTTATGACCTTCCCACCTCCCTTCCTCCCAAGATATTTTATTGTTCTCCACTTCAAACAAACAGTGCAAACTAAAATATCATTTAAAAAATCATAGATTATATACAATTATACTTTCAGTGGTTTGTTCTATCCTTTCATCTTGTCCCCTGGTTTGGAACATTTCATTCCGAAAATTCATAATCCTGTAATTCGCACAATGAAACCCCCTTCTGGCCACCGGAGAAGTAGGGATAAAGCCACTTCAACTCTTCATAAAAACGGGAAACAGAGGCATCTCTTGGGATCCTGAAAATAAATCGTACATAGCACTTTATCAAACGTTTTAGTATTGTGTTATATATTGTCCGATTTTCAGTAGAAAAGTAGGAAATTCAACCTTTGTGTTTATAACTAAAATATATAGTGGTGACTAAAATATATTTAATTTAAGTAATTACTTCTCAGTAACCGAGAAAAATATTTGTTCCAAATGAAAGTATAGTCTGTAGTTGTTAAAATCATTTAATGATTACTTTTGAGCGGATAAATTATTGATTTTATAAGTCCTGTTTTAAAAAAAATCTACATTTATTAGCGATCTTTTTTATCACTCTCTATCTATACTTCATATACTCCACATTCAATAAAACTTCCCTATTTAATAAGCTCTAAGTCAATAGTATTTGAGTTTAGGTTTATTTCGAAATAAGTTCAGATTCATCTCCAATCAGTAGACATGTTGTCCGCCAAAATTACTACTTAATAAATAAAAACAAAACTTTAATTTATTTTTTCCATTATTTGGAATGTATTATAGTAAACATAACTGCATGAATACACTTTTTATTCATAAAATAATGATCATGTAAACTGCTAAAGAAACTGTGAACTTTACAAAGATCTCTGTTATAAAAATTGATCCTCATTCAATTTGATCAAGTAAGTGTTTTTAATTAAAATATTTCAATTTAAAATCTAAAAGAAACCTGCTGGCTGCTTGAATTATTTTCATAAAATCATCAATATAAGGATAAGGGGCATTTAGTTGGTCACTTATAAATCGGTTCGATATATGATCTCTGTAAATATTTCTCTCTACTTACGGGACACCCTATATATCTATACAGTTTTTTTTAGGTTTTTTTCCGTTGGCGCTATAGAACATGAAGATCTCTGGCTGCGAGATATGGAGTGGGTCACCCATCCTCACGTTGCTATGAACCATGGTCACTTGGATTCAAGGGGAGTGACAAATCGGTCTGTGTGTATGAATGTGTGTGTATGGATGTTGAATGTGTGTGTTTTCTATTAGGTTGTGTATATATATATATACACAACCTAATAGAAAAAAAAAAAAAAAAAAATATATATATATATATATATATATATATATATATATATATATATATACAACCTATATATATATATATAAATTAAATTGTTATGTTTAAATATATATATATATATATATATATATATATATATATATATATAATAATAATAATATAATCTTGAAATAGAAATTGATCCGTATTTATAAGTGACTAAATGTTTCCAATCATAATAAGCGAATCTCAATTTATTTCGTGACAAACCTCAATTTAATTAATATGGACAACAATATGGAGCTTATTGAACAAGGGAGTTTTTTCTGAAGGTGGGGTATCTGTAGCATAGTTGTAGGATGATAAAAAAAATCGCGAATAATTAATTTTTTTTTAAAACAGAACTTAGGTTAGTTTAGCCGCACGAAACTCCTCTTTGAATGGTTTTATCAATGACAAACTCTAGTTTTATTTGAAGTAAATTTTGTCTAATTTATAGTGAAGCAATTATTAATTTATTAGAAATCAAGGATTTTTTTAGTTATAGCTTTCTATTCAAGAATAACCGGCACCTACTTCAACAACCCAATACTTGAATTCATACTTTTCTGCGAAAAATTGGGCCATGGTTTTAATGATTTAACCGAGTCGCTGAAATGCTTGATTACTTTATTAAGTTAAATACCCCTTCAAGTAACCGTGAAGGTGTCTTTTTATTCTCTCGGATCTTCTGAGCTTTGTTGGTTATGTTGCTGCTTTCGGTATCGATTCGTTTCGGAATTGCCCCTGTCTTTAGTCTAGATTCTGCCACTGGAATTAATCTTGGCTGATGATTATATTTGCGTCCCTTTTAACTAGTATTTTCCCCCATCATTCGACAGATATGGCTGCATATTAATCTGAATAATTTTATTTATACTCCTGTCGTCATAATAGTTTGTTAGCAAGTCTGGTTTGTTGATACTCTAGGCGTGGAGCTTAATTGTTGCTGTTTGTTTTTCCGCGCATTAAGTTTAAGAGAAACCCATCCTTACGAATCCAATCCTTACAATCCAAAATCCTTCAGAAAATCCTCAATGCTCCTTACTTTGTTACCAATAAAATAATCCTAATAATAAAATAAAAAATAATGAATGGGCGATAGTCGATAGTATTATCTATATATCGATAGTTTCAACTACCTATATCCATATCGATAGTCCATATTAATATTTTATATACTTAAAGGGATGATTTTAAAATAACACGCCTTCATTCTTTAACCTATTTATTGATATACGAGATATGGTGATAATATAACAATGCAAAAGTTAAATATTTAAATAAATAAATAAGAAATATCTTGTAAGTTAAAAAAACTACAATTCTTGCAAATATCTCAGTTTCGTTCTCTTGTTTAGTTGTTGGATTGCAAAGAAAGACACCTTCTTACCTCTACCAACCTATCTTTTTTATAAATAATAGTTTTCTATATTTTATTTTAAACCATCAAATTCCTCTCGCATTCTTAAAATCCTGCTGCTTACTTTATTACAAATAAAATCCATAACGACCTTAATGTACCATTTATTTCCGATTAAACTCCATCCAGATTTCTTCCATAATAAACTTCTGAACCATCCGAACCCTCTTGTTTCTAACCTTGCTTTCTCTTCTATCCTTGGTAACCCTCCGAGGCGTCTGAAAAGAAGATCTCCTATTGTAAATACATTTTTTTTGTTACGATTGCTACTAGTTGGTAGTTTCTCAACAAGTTATTTCATGTTATTGTTTTCAGTTATCAAATTTACTAAATGTATTTTAATTCTTAATACAGCTGTAAATATCATAAATAAATAATTAAAATTAATTTTTTTTAAAAGAGTTTAAGGGCATTTAGGCACATTTTTCCTGGTCGCAAAAATGCCTTTCTTAAATTATCTTGTTAATTTTGAAAACGCTATTTATAAAATATTTTTTATTTTTATTCATTGATATTTACAACTGTATTATAAAAAAATAAACTAGTAAATCAGCACACAGTAATAATACAATCACATGAAAACGCTTGTTGAGAAACTACCCATTGGTAGCGCTCTAATAATATATTTACGTAAGTAGATCACGAGGCCATCTTCTTTTCAGACGCCTCGGAGGGGTTTATAAAATATGAAATGCTTTTTCCTATGATTAAACCTTTCGAAGAGAGGTATTTAAGTCAAATTTATAACATACCGTCTAGGCTAGAAAGACTCAGTTAAGTTTGTTCAAGAAAGGCTAGTTCATTATTATTCATAGTGTCGACTTACGACTTGAAGTATTCTACGTTCATTTTTATTCACAATAATGATAAGCTATATAATCATATACGTTTGATAATCAATATCGTTTCTTACAGTAAACCAAATAGTCTCCAAGTTTTGCTACTAGTTAAATTACTGAACTATGTCTGATAAATCTTTGTGAGGCGAATTATGGTACAGGTACTGGTGGATGGAACTAGACCCTTCTTAGTGTTCTTTTCTTTCATATAAAAATGGCATGTTTATTGTGTTTGTATGCCAATGACTTGTGAGCTAAGGTTCTTTTACATTTGACTGGTGTATTTTTATTTTTTAAATAGCAGTGATAAAGATCATTTTATAAAATACTTGTGGTTAAATTATATGTTTCCTGTTAGATTCCTTCCTTCTTTTCTTCCTTCCGGCACTACAACTTGTGGTGAGTTAGGGCTCCTATAGCATAGGAGCATAATAAATTAATAAACTATAGGAGCATAATTAATTAATAAATTCATATTAATATATTTATTATTGTTTAGTATTTAAAATCTTGCAATGTTGTTTCTATAGACCTCCTATAGCATAGGAGCATATCAACAGCAACAGCCGTTCTTCTGTACTGTACACAGTAACAGACTGGGTGCACTCTATTGGCCCACTGGAAATTTCTTATCATTTCTTATCATCTTTCATTCTAGCAACTTAACCTGCCCCGGGAACCTTTCCAGTCTTAAAATCAAACAACATTTATATTATTAAACAGTTTTCCTATTAAATATTATTTTTAATTTGCAATATATACTCCATTAAGTACACATATTTTCATAGTTCATTATTTTAACATCTATCATGTACCTAATTTATTTTAAATGTTTGTTTTGTTACTTCATAAAAATATATTTTATAAATTGCTGTGCATAAAGAGACAACATTGCAAGAATTACAAATATTAAACAATAATAAATACCTATAGTAATATGCATTTATTAAACAATAGTTTAATATTATAAGACTTGATTGTTTAAAATTTAAAAGAAATAGTGAAGTATAGAGAGGACATTAGCCACTACTAAAATTAAGAAATCATTGTATTCAAGATGACCATATATTTAAAGCTTTTATATAATTTAAATTGATTCATTAATTATACTAATTAAAGTTTTATATTATTGAAATTGATACATTAATTATATTAATCAAAGTTTTTTATATTATTAAAATTGATTTATTAATCGTATTAAAATAAAATAACATTGCTTGCTCATTTTAAAAATATATTTGATCAAAAATGCAATGGGAATATATGCATTAATTTAAAGAAAATTGAAAAAAGAAATTCAAAACTAGATATATTTCTTTTCTCTCTCAAAGCATGTTAATACTTTAAAAGAAACATTTTGAAATATTACAACCGAAAAAAGAAATTCAAAACAAGAAAGAATATTTTAATCATGTTAGAAAAGGTAAAGTAGAAACTAAAACTATTCCATGACATGGTTATTCAGAAGGTATTTAAAGAATGTAAAAATGTAAGAAGCTTTCAATTAGAGGTAAAATTAAATAACATTGTTTGTTCATTTTAGAAATATATATGATCAAAAGTGCAATGTGAATATATGCATTATTTAAAAGAAAATTGAACAATATTTAGTCAGAAGGTTAATAATAATAATAATAGAAGACATAACTGTTTTATTTATTTTCCTCTTTCAAAACATGTTAATACTTTTAAAAAACCCATTTTGAAATATTTTGTGAGACTATTATAACCGAAAAAAGAAATTCAAAACAAGAAAGAATATTTTAATCATGTTAGAAAAGGTAAAGTAGAAACTAAAACTATGTCATGTCATGGTTGATTATTTTCAAGCTAAAAACATGACTGTAATTCAGAAGGCAAATATTTAGTACATTTTACGAATGTAAAAATGTAAGAAGCCTTCAATTACAGGTAAAATTAAATAACATTGTTTGTTCATTTTAGAAATATATATGATCAAAAGTTTAATGTGAATATATGCATTAATTATAAGAAAATTGAACAATATTTAGTCAGAAGGTTAATTATTTATAATAGAAAATATAACTGATTTATTTATTTTTCTCTTTCAAAGCATGTAATACTTTTAAAAAACTTGTTTTGAAATATTTTGTGAAACAGTTACAACTGAAAAAAGAAATTCAAAATAAGAAAGAATATTTTAAATATGTAAGAAAAAGTTAAGTAGAAACTAAAACTATATCATGATGTAGTTAATTATTTTCAAGATAAAAAATAACTGTAAATTAGAAGGCAATATTTGGTACATTTAAAGAATGTAAAAATATAACAAGCCTTCAATTAGAGGTAAAATTAAATAACATTGTTTGTTCATTTTAAAAATATATTTGATCACAAATGCAATGTAAATATATTATGTATTATTTAAATGAAAATTGAACAATATTTAATCAGGAGGTTAATTAAATATAATAGAAAGCATAACTGATATATTTCTTTTCTATTTCAAAACATGTTAATGCTTTTAAAAGAACTCATTTTGAAATATTTTGTGAGACAGTTACAACTGAAAAAAGAAATTAAAAACAAGAAAGAATATTTTAATCAAGTAAGAAAAGGTTAAGTATAAACTAAAACTATATCATGATGTAGTTAAATATTTTCAAACTAAAAAAATAATTAATTCAGAAGGAAATATTTTGTACATTTAAAGAATTTAAAAATATAAGAATTCTTCTATTCAGGGGACACTCATTCGCCCTGGAACAGTACTAAAATTTATTTTTTGAACTGTTGCATTGCGGGGAGTAAATATTGAGCTAGTTATAAGGAATACTTTTAAAAGGACCTTAATGGCTACTCTACATTTAATAGAAGAAAGAAGAAGAAAGAAGATATTTTTTTTAATATTGAAAAAAGAATTGAAAATATAAATATAAAAAATTTTGTTATGAAAATAAATTCTGAAGTTACCATAAAATCATTATGAAATTAATAAGATTTTTAAATTATGAAAAAAAAATCATAGTACCTGTTTTATAGAATATTTTGTTTCAATATTATGATTATTATAATTTATCAAATTTAAAAGTTATATTTTTTATTTTACAATAGAATAAAAACAATATATATGCATTATTTAAAAGAAAATTGAACAATATTTATTTATTTTTCTCTTTCAAAACATGTTAATGCTTTTAAAAAACTCATTTTGAAATATTTTGTGAGACTATTATACCGAAAGAAGAAATTCAAAACTAGAAAGAATATTTTAATCATGTTAGAAAAGGTAAAGTAGAAACTAAAACTATGCCATGACATGGTTGATTATTTTCAAGCTAAAAACATGACTGTAATTCAGAAGGCAAATATTTAGTACATTTAAAGAATGTAAAAATGTAAGAAGCCTTCAATTAGAAGTAAAATTAAATAACATTGTTTGTTCATTTTAGAAATATATATGATCAAAAGTGCAATGGGAATATATGCATTAATTTAAAGAAAATTGAACAATATTTAGTCAGAAGGTTAATTGTATATAATATAAAATAAGAGAAAAATTTGAAAGAGAAAAGTAAATAAACCAGTTAATTTATTTTTCTCTTTCAAAACATGTAATACTTTTAAAAAAACTGGTTTTGAAATATTTTGTGAAACAGTTACAACTGAAAAAAAAAATGCAAAACAAGAAAGAATATTTTAAACATGTTAAAAAAAGTTAAGAAGAAACTAAAACTATGTCATGATGTAGTTAATTATTTTCAAGATAAAAAATAACTGTAATTTAGAAGGTAATGTTTGGTACATTTAAAGAAAGTAAAATTTCGTTTTAAGAATTTAAATGCTTTTTAAATTATGAAAAAAAAATCATAGTACCTGTTTGATAGAGTAATTTGTTTCAGTATTATGATTATTATAATTTATTAAATTTAAAAGTTATATTTTTTTATTTTACAATAGAATAGAAACATTTCTTAGAAGAATAAATATATATTTTTAAAAAGTCAGTAATGTTGTTCAAATAAATTATATTAATTTATAGAATTAAATGATTCTCTTATCAGTGTCCCTAGTTGAAACAATTATTTATACATATGATCAGAATGATATTTTCAAGAACAGAATGGTAGATCATAAATAAACATAGTGAAAATACATTAATGCTAGACTTCTAAAGTAAATATAGTAAAAAAAAAAATGTAAATGTAACAGGAGCTTGTGTATGATACTATTAAAAAGATCATACAAATGAAAAATATATATTAGCTATTATTTATTTCTTATGCTAACTTGTTATTCATGTTGTTTCCTATACCCCTGAAGAAGGCTTTCAAAATCGGGTCAAAATTCGGGATACCTTACGAGAATAACCAATTGCTTGGTTTATATATTTCTTCCACTAAGAACCAAGATCTCTTAAGCTGTGGTCAACCAGCATCAGTTTATCAATAACTAAAACGCTAAACTATAAAACTTAAATCTAAGCCCTTTACAGTAGATACAAAATAATTGTTGAAAACATTGAAAGATTCCGGAGTTTATAAATTCTTAAAAAATATGCTAATATGTCATGTGCATTCGTTTAGATAATGTTTCTGTGACATTCACATGGAATATGGTTTAATTTTCATCGAATGTATTGAAAACCGATTATCGAAATAGATTTTTGCTGAAAGTTGAAGGTATCCTTTGGTGATTTGAAATATACTGCGAAGAATTTCAAAATCCTTAAATATTAATTAAGTCTGTTTGCTTTTTGTCAAAATAATTTATACAGATTACATGAAATGAGTACTACATGAAATTATACATGTACGAAACCGCTGAAAGGAAAAAGAAAGCGTCAAGCTTTATCGGAAAAATGTCAACCTTTCTGGTTGGCATGCTCTGTTTCTGGGATGTGCCTAATGTTAAGTCGTTGGGCACATCCCAGAGACAGGACAAGGCCAATCGGGCGATACTTCTAGAAGAAAGAACAGAAGAAAGAATAAAGAAGAAAGAATAAAGAAGAAAGAATAAAGAAGAAAGAAGAAAGATATTTGGAAAAACTAAATATACATATGTTAGCGTAAAAAAATATACATATGTTATTGTAATTTCTTTATAGTGTTTTAAATGTTTTTATCGTAATTGTCTTATATACATAGAGAGCCTTTCCTATTTCTTTTAATACTGGAGACAGTGTCTCCTCAAGTTATGAAAATTCAGTATTATTAAAAAAAAATAGAATAAAGAAACTAAGGTCCGGCAATGATTGTAACAAATATTTGCAAGAAGATATCTCTCATTGTTTTTATAATTTTAAGATTTACTTTTAGTATTATTATTTGTCTGTATTAGTCATTTTTATTTGTTGTAAATAGAGGGTTAATGTGCTCTCTGAACACTATTATAAATGTCCTTAATTGTGACAGAATGTAATAATTCTGAATAAATAAATAAGTTATTTATAATTTTACCTATTAAAAATGTATTTTGATTATTAAATTTATTATTATAATTGATTAATTAGAATTTTAATCTAAAGACCAAGGTGATATAATATATAATGTATTTTTTTTATTAAATACAGTGCTGACCTTAGCCATTCGGCACACCCGGGCAATGGCGTCATGTCTTCCCCTTAAAAAAATAAATTTATTTCTTAAGTTGTTTTATATTATATAATATTTGAATTTTACTTCATTTAACATTTCTCTAATACAGTTGCTTTATTGATAGGATAAAATTAATTATTTTAATATGTTTTGAATTTTTTGTTCGAGCGCCCCTAAAGATCGGGCGTCGCCCCTCAGGATCGGCGCCCCACGGCGATGGTAGCCACACCCTAAGGCCAGCACTAATTATATATTAAGAAATTGTATACGACATATCTCTAGCTCACAAGTGAAATTTTTCTTTGTTTACCAGTCATTTATTTATTTGTATTTTTAGTTATTCCAGTCTAAAATGTAGTCTTATATCTTATATTGACTGGTGAAACTCATTAAGTCATTTTTATAATCAAAAATAGATTATTTTTCTAACGAGAAATACAACTACCATAGTTGACACTCGAACTATTTCTTCTTTATTTTCGGCATTACAGTTTGGGTATGAACATCGAATCCCCTCCAATCTTCATCCACTCGTCCCTATCCAACGCTTTCCTCTTCCATGCAATCACTTATTATAAGTCCTCATGCCCTACGAGGCCATCCATTTAGTTTCACTTATCAGAGATTTAAACATTTTAAGTTTGGTTTGCCTGGTCAAAAGGCTCGAATTTCATCAATCTTTCCAGGCTCAAGTAGGTTCTGTTTCTCATCATTCTACTTCTGACCTCATTACTCTCCATGTTTTTGCTGTATAGTTCCACTTCAATGTCGGTGAAGTGACCAATAATTGCCAATAACCAATAATTGCCTACAACTAGATAAGATGGTCTTTTTCTTACTGTGGAAGTTGACATTATGCCGTATTTTTTCTTCACTTCATTAATTACTAGGCCGTTTTTAATTTAACGTTTTTAATTTAATTATTTATTAAATATACAAAGTATGGTTAAAACTAGTAAATAATAAAGGGAAGGATAGTTGGGGTGATTAGTGAAAAATAAAAATTGCAAAAATAAATAATAATATTTATTTTAACATTTGCCGACGTTTCGACCCAAATTTCAGGTCTTCATCATGGCTGAGGAAAGAACCAGATAACAATCGGTATGAGAAGCATAAACAATGTAGGTAAAAAAACTTAAATAAAATGAAGTAACATTGTTTATGTTCAGATTACATTGCTTATGTTTCTCATACCAATTGTTATCTGTTTTTTTTTTCTCAGCCCTGATGAAGGCCTGAACTTAGGGTCGAAACTCCGGCAAATGTTAAAATAAATATCATTATTTATTTTTGTCATTTTTATTTTTGTCATTTTTATTTTTGTCTGATCACCCCAACTACCCTTCTCTTCATTATTCACTATAGTCAACCATCAACCCACAATTAGTAAATAATAGTTTAGTTAAAACTGGTAACTACTGGTTTAGTTAGAACTTGTAATTCCATTACAGCGATTTCATCTTCACTTAATATCATCCAGATAACAGTGTCTTAAACCGTCGCGGTTTGCGAGATTACCGGTAAGAACGATTCTCCCTATATCTTTATCTAGAATTAAATTAAAGAGTAAGGCTGACGGGACATCTCCTTACCTCACACCGGCTTGAAATCGCGGATGCTTTGATTACCAACAAGGATACTAGCTTGAGGTCATTTTAGATTTTAGGGTATTAAACTCATCTAGGGCCTGACACCGTTTTGGCCAGCTGACATGGTCAAAAACCTCTTTAAAGATAATGAAGAGTATTGCGCTAATACTAATCCGTACTGCTCCTTTATTTGTTTCACAACAAACATTTGATCTGTAGTTATTCCATTTGGTCAAAATCCGCATTGATTGTCGTTAAGGATTGTTTCAGAGCAGAACAAAAGTTCATAAAGAAGTCTGGACAAAAATCTTATATGCCACATTCAATAAAGCGATTCTATTATAATTTTGGCATCAAGTCTTATCCCTTGTGCCGTTTCTTATACATTCTGATTCAATATCAAAGTCTACAATTTCGTGGACGAAGCAGATTAATATCTAAAATGGTTAAACTCACAAAGTTTTTAGTATAAGCTTATTTTATAATATAAAATATTTTTATTCTTTTTTTTTTTATTTGGCAGATATCATTTCAACGTGAATGCTATTGGTCAAGAAATAATTAGGAAGGATGAAATCCGATTTTGGACAGTATCCTACTCACAAATTGGAGTTTCGTGAGTGCTATATCAATAAAACGCCAATAATAACACTCTACTATAAGTGTTTAATTTTTAATTATTCTTGACATTATTTATTTTATTTCATTGCAGTATTATCCGAGCTGACTTGTACTAGTACAATGAAGTAAGGATTAGACCGCAGGAACTTAGGAACAACCCTTTCATCAACGGAGTAACCATATTGCGTTATTGTGAGTAGTAATAATCAGTTTTTTCTACATGTGTTTTATTTAAAAAGAGACAGAAAACTAAAACGTAACATTATTTATTAAAATAAAACTTGGAAAATTTGCTTTCATTATTCTTGTTATATTTATGCTTTAAATTTTAACGCAACATTATCATTATGCATAAAAAATTATTGGTGTTTACTTATTTAATTCTTTCTTTTGTTTTGAAATACAATTTTATTTAAATATCGATATTAGACAAATAGATACAGAAATAACTTTATTCTGGGGCAAAGTCCCTTAAGTATAACAAAATGCTACAGAGCAAAAGAATACTTCTACATTAAATAAATAAAATATCTTATGTAAACTAACAAAATATACAAAAAATTACATTGTATTTTTCAAGTAAATATGATTATCACATTACATCACTCTTATGTTTTTAATATTTGATTAACTTAATTTAATTATTTAACAGATAACATAAACAGATACAAATTGTGATTTACATTTCAAATATTGAAAATTATCCTTCAAATAGTCTCATGGTTATTAATTACTCTATCTTCAAGAAGCTGCGATTATTCATCTAAATATATATATATATATATATATATATATATATATATATATATATATATATATATATACAATACATTTATACAAATTCTCCACAACCCACATATCTATGTTTATCCATATCCGTCCTCCTGGATGTCGTTTTTCTTTCAATTTCTTTTCTTTTTCCGATCATAGATTTTCGTACTACTTCAAAAATATATCTTCTTCTTCTTAATCGTATCCTCTTCTACCGCTGAGCGGTGTGAGGAGGCTTCATGTAGAGCCGAATCCTTAACTTTCGATTCTCGGCCAACTGCCGGCCACCTCCACCAGTCATTATCCCTTCTGTCAAAGGCCTCTTTGAGACCGACCTTCCAAGTCTTCCTGGGCCTTCACTGAGGTCTTCTTCCCTCAACTTTACTTTCTCTGGAATTCGAAAGATATTGCCAAACCATCTCAATCGATTTTCCTCTATCACAGTTTTAGCTGGTCTTACGTTTGGGTTATTCCTTATTATGGAGTTCCATATGTGGTTTCTCTTTTTTTGCTTCTCTTTGATCCTGCGCAGGAATCGCATCTGCATGGTATGAATCTGACTGATGTGTTTTGTGGCGAGGGTCCATTACTCGCTTGAGTAGGCCATTATAGGAAGGAAAGTAGTTGTCTACCAATCCTCATAGTTTTGTTTTTTCCCATATTTATCTGATCTAATTCTTCCTGAAGAATGCGGAGGTTGAATTGAAAGTTTAAATTATTAAAAATATATCTGCAGCATCTACTGAATTTGGTATGGAAAAAGAAAGAAGTACCCAAGGAATGGGAAATTTCAGTCATAGTACCAATTCATAAAAAAGGAGACAACCGGAAATGCCGAAACCACGGAGGCATTTCATTGCTTAGAGTACCATGCAAGGTATACTGTAAAATTCAATAGAAGAGACTAAGAGGATTCATTGAGAGAACCCTTGAAGAAGAACAATACGGCTTCAGACCACAAAGAAGAATCCAATATCTAATATTCGTAATAAGGCAGTTCTCAGAAAAGCTCGTGGAAAAGAATAAAGAAGTATATACCTGCTTTGTGGACCTAACTCAAGCATTCGATAATGTCAGAAAAACGGACAGAAACAGAGCACTGAACGAACATGAAGTCGATCCAGGCCTAGCGAGGGCCATTCTTAGCCTATATAAAAAGAAAATAAGCGTGGTCAGAACCAAAAATCACACCTCTAGGGAGTTTCAGAGCTCCCAAGGAATAAGGCAGGGCTGTACTCTAAGCCCTTTATTGTTTATAATAGTGCTCAACATAGCACAGAAGAAAGCTAAGGAAAGAATGAGACCTTTTAGTTTGAGCCACAGACCACAGACCACAGCTACGACCAGTACAAACTCCAAATCCTGCAGGAAGAATTAGAAGTGTTTAACATGGAAATAAACAGACACAAAACAAAAATAATGAGGATAGGAAGAGAAGAAGAAAGGGGATACAGAGTACTTCGATTGAAGGGGGATGAACTCGAACACGTCAAAGATTTTAAATATCTGGGAGCCCATCTAAATGAGAACGGTTGGATAGATGTACAAATCAGGGAAAGAATAAGACTGGCCCGCAAATGCTTCCATTCACTAAAAAAGGCTTCTTAGCAAAGAGAGAAGTGTCAAAAAATTTCAAGAAGACGGTGTATAAAAATACATTTATCCCCATACTGACTCACGGCAGTGAATCCTGGACTATAACCTCAAAATATAAAAGCAATACCCAAGTAATGGAAATGCGGTTCCTGAGGAGAATAGAGGGAAAAACTAGGATTGACAAAATCAGGAATACAACGATAAGAAGCACTTTGGGAATAAAACCAGCAGAAAACACAATTGAGGCAAACAGGATACGCTGGTTTGGCAATGTCTAAAGAATGCAGAAGGGAAGAATGGCCAAAACTAAAAATGAAGTAAAATTGGAAGGAAGAATGCCGAGAGGGAGGCGCAGAAAGACTTGCGAAGATTCAGTCAGGGAGGATTTCGATAGGAGAGTAATGAACTGGAATAGACAAAGCCAGATGGTGCAAGAACGAGATAAATGGATTATGCTCTATGAACAGGATCCTCTACACTGACCTAATGGTAGAAGAGGAATTGATTAAGAAGAAGAAGAAAATATATCTGCTGGCTAAAATGAATAGCAAAGAGAGCAAAAAAAGTAGATAAAGTTGTTTAAAGTGATTATCGGCTATAAATTAATTTAATAGAAATGGTAATCATTTATAGTTTTGCTTAACGTCGTAGGAAATAGGACCTTTTTCTTCCATGATCATCCACTCCACCACCCAAAAACAATCATTACTAATTATAAAATAATTGAGAATATTCTTCTTTTTAAATAATTCGAAATAAGTCATCGACATATTTTTTTTTTTAAATGAGCAGTTTCACCTTGGATGATTAGAGTGCTTGATCAATTATCAAAACTGTACCCGATATATCAGTAGACAAACTTAATTCCATTGGCAAACCAAAACATTGTCGGTGCAATAAATTCTACTGTCGCCTTTTTTTTGCTTTCTTTAATTTTCAGTTTAATCTACAAATTTATTTTTAAAAATGTACGGCTATCTATGATAGCAAAGATGGAAGGAAATGGTGGATAGATATAGACAAACCTAATTTCATAGGTATGTGAATTGTGCAGACTCCTTGTGACAATTATAATGAATTGTAGGTTGATTTTATATTTATATATATTTATATATATATATATATATATATATATATATATATATATATATATATATATATATATATATATATATATGCAGCCTACGATTATGTGGACAGGAACTGTCTTTGGAAAATCATGACTGAGCTGGGAGTTTCCGGTAAGTTGGTGAAATTGACAAGGGTGCATACAAATGACCCTAAGTGTCGAGTCCTAATACAAGGAGAAATATGTGAAGCCTTCAAAGTTCGAACAGGCTTACGACAGGGAGATGGACTATCATCGATGCTGTTCAATTTAGCCCAAGAGAAGGTGATAAGAACAACATCACGCGAGTCCATATAGAAATGAATTATAAAATCCTTGGATACGCAGATGATATAGCTGTAATTGGAAGTAACCAAGAGGACATTAAGAAACTCGCTAAGGCTCTGATAAGAGGATCCCAATAGATCGGCCTACAAGTAAATTAAGACAAAATAAAATCTATGATAATAAGCCGAACATTCCAACCCAATAATAGGATCTGTGTAGAAGGCAAATCATTCCCTAGAGTAGAAAAAATCAAATACTTTGCCTTTACAATAACCTCAACGTATTATTAACGGGAAGGAATATACAATCGTATAACTAGCGCAAACGGAGCTCTCTTCTCTCTTTCAAAGGTATTGAAATCCCGAAAATTCTCAAGAGATATAAAATTAATGGTGAACAATGCTATTATAAAGCCAGTTCTAATATATCGCTGTGAGACTTTGACACTAACCAGCACCGTAGAAAAAAGTATTAAAAGATTTAAGAGAAAAATCTTCCGCATGATAACGGGAGCGAGTCCTATCACACAGAGAAGAAAGGTCAATAAAGAACTGCTTACAGAAACTGGCCAATCAATATCCCAGGTTAAGATGAACAGGGCATATAGCAATCCATCAAGAAACCTCTATGTAGCAATGAATGTATCTATAGAAGGAAATAGACCATGTGGAAGGCCAGAAAGAAGATAAAATCAACAAAGAAATAAAAGAGCTGCTTGCAGATAACTGCAAAGAAATAACCTAAGACAGAGGTGGAGCAGGCTTACTAAGGCGTCAAAAGATATAGTTCTGTAATGCCAAAAGGGAAAAAAACAACAACACACACACACATATATATATATATATATATATATATATATATATATATATATATATATATATATATGAATATATATTAGATTGATATGGTGCAAATCATCGTAAGCTTCTTGAAGTGATCGAAATAATCATGAAATCGTTGAAAGGTAATTTTCGATATTTGAAAAATAAAACATCCAACCTACTTGTCTACTTTACTTGACTTATACACATAATTTACATTTTATATTAATATATTCATAAAGTAATTTAAAGTATATTTATTGTATTGAAAGTGGCAGCAGGCAAATGTTAGCACTATAGATTTTCATTTATTCTTTAAAGGTTAAAAAAAAAAATCATAAACGATAGCGAAATTCAGTCGAGTATTATTCAACCGTCGCACAGTGGGCTCTTCTGTGCTTAGATTCTAGACAATCTAGCGGTACAAATGTCAAAATATATACTGTGTAATTTATGTGGAAATTACATAAACCGTGTACAAGTAGGTTTCTTAAGGAAAATAACAAATATTCAAAACAATATGAGTAATCATTGAGACTTCAACTAAGCCTTACTCCATCGGGTTTTCCGTAATACAGTATATTGATTGTTCTCTCCTCACACATTCTGATCACGTGTCCCATCTTCCTATTTCCTTGTACTCATAAAGTTTGGTAAACACTCACGACATTATAAAGTGTGTTTAACGACTGTTATTCCTTACTCATATTACTATTATACTTTTATATTTGCCATTTTTCTGATATTATTTTATATCTTTTAATTTTAGTCCGATGATGACCCATATGTTTGGGTCGAAATGTAGGCTAACCCATTAGAGAAATGTTTGACAATTTGTTTTATCGTTATAATTTCAACAGTCAACTACATACCCATCTCTAAAGCTTTTACAATTTAATTTCGTTCGAGTAGATGATGCCCTTTTTTTTTTTTTGTAATTATTTGTTCAAAATGTTGAAATACTAACAATCAATCAACAGGTCGCTGTCAAGCGGTTTGCCAAAATTCGTTGCTATTTTTCTCCTTATTTTTTCTATGTTGCCTTCCCTGGCTAAGACCATGTATAAATATATCGGCCTTCTCAATCTGAAGCCCTGTTAGTTACAAAAAAAAATTTGAAAAATCATATATATATATATATATATATATATATATATATATATATATTTTTTTTTATTAACAATTGATACGGGGTATTATTTAAATAATTATTTTATTCACAAAAGATGATCTCGGGAAAGAGATTATAATACGTATTAGTAGAGAAAGGCCTTTTCAGTCTCGATAAATAATAACTTCATTTCAAATTCATCCAAATTTTCGCCTCTTCGGACATTTACAGGGATAATCTGATTTTACATGTAATTCAAAATTTTTATCTGAAAAAACATATACAACAAACTTTCAGAGGATTTACATTAGACATTAGGTCATTTTTGAAACCTTAGTAAGCTTAAAAACATTTTTCACCAATCAACAATATATATATATATATATATATATATATATATATATATATATATATATATATATATATATATATATATATACATATATATATATATGTATATATATATATATATATACATATATATATATATATATATATATACATATATATATATATATATATATATATAAGTATACTCACAAATATATACATATATATATATATATATATATATATATATATATATATATATATATATATATATATATATCAAAGTATAAAAAAAAAATTCTTATAGTAATTAATTTAGTAATAAATGAATAATATATTCAAACCTCCATTAGTTTTATTGATGGAAAAAAATCTTTGAAATGGTGGATATTTACCGAGTACACTTTCTCATAACTGAAATTTATTCTAAGAAGTCATAATTCCAATAGAGAATAACTTCCCTTAGGGTTGGTTAAATCATGCATCGCTTCTTTCTATTCTTTGATGTAAGCTCTTGTATGCAGGTTTTGTAATTTATATGAATGTTTGGAGGATGGTTTCTTCTTCACATAAACCTGCAATCTATAGAGTAGATGCTATAAAAGCTTCTAGTTCATCGTCACAAGCTCAGAAATAGAACTCTAATCAAATATTGCTGAACGGTTTACCTCACGCACAAATATGCTTTATGGAACAGCACGTAGAAAAATGGAGATTTGCGTTAGCATCCAGAGATATTCTTCCATACATCATGACTGAACCAAATCTAAATAACTTGACGCCTTTAAATTAGTTTCAGTAAAGTAATGTTCCTATGATTTCCAAATCCAGTGCTAAAGATGTGCAGCTCATTTGATGGATTAGGGGGGGGGGGAGGGGGAAGGTGGGGGTGAAAAAATAATTCCGCTTCTCTTCTTACAGTTCATAGCTATATTACAATTATTAGAGATATTGCTGGAAATTGTACTAGATGTAGTCGGCCTTATTACATACTCTTTTTCTTTTTTTCGCTTCAGATTAATTCATTTATCCCACTCTTTTCTCTTGACCCATAAAAAAATTGAATAATTCATATATATATAAAATAATAACTTTTCTCAAAACAAATATAAATGCACTTCACATGATCTGTAACATTTTTTGGATCGCAGATCACTATTTTAAATAATTAATTAATTTAATTAATAGAAAATATGATATAAATAATGATACGTTTATTAAAAAAAAAATCGTTTATGGAAATTCGATAAAGTATATTATAATTAGATTACAGTTATAATACAACGAAAGTACAGACAATTTTTTTTTTTTTCCATCTAGTGTGTTTATGAGTGTCCTTATATTGAATGAGGAGAAAACTTAATAAAAGTATAAAGATGGCGAAGAGTTAAAAACTTGCTCCATCTTAAAAGTTTTAAGCTTGCTGGCATTTATTAATGCGTCCCTCAAGATCATGACTAGAAAATGATTGATGGCGAAAGGAGAAAAACTATAGTTGCATTTAATTGCAAATGCTTCCCATTGCTACACTTACAAGTAAGTTTCATAGATCTCAGATAAATATTAAATGATTTGCATGCATTAAAATATTTATACCATTGTATATTTTTCAGTCAGGAAATACATTCGTTTTAGGATTTGCTGGGATTATTCTAGATTAGTATAGAATTTCTTCTGCAACAGGATTTCAATCCAGGTAAAGATATTATGGTTATGATAGCATATTGTGCAATGGTATTGAGATTTTATTAGTTTTAAAATATCTGTTTATTTATGTGTTTAGTATATATAATCTTTTTTAATAAGGTAATTTAATAATTATGAGCTATAACTGGATTCAATTACATATTTAGTTTACCTGTTTGCTTAATGCAGCTGATAATCCCTTTTTTTATTTAATAATGAAAAAAAAAATTTCTCACGACTGTTTTTAAATTCAATCTAATTTTTTTTTTTTAAAGTAAATTTTCGGTGGTAAATCTCCACTTTTTTTTAAACAAATAGAAAATGATATATTGTATAATTATAAATAACTTTTATAGACATAAAAGGATACTTAATCCTTTGATAACTTCGTCCAAAATTCTATTTTACCGACCTTTTAAATTCAATTGTTCGTTTTGTTTAGTATTTTTATTTTATTTTTTCAAAACCATAAACGTATTACATCTTTAAAATGATATGTCAACTTCTGGTATTTTACAATTATTTCAATAACATAGAAATGTCCTTGAATAAAAAACAAATACACATATTGATTTATGTAACGTGACAAGTGATCCACTTGTTTCAAATTAAAAACTACATTTCTGCGTATTTCTGTTATTCCCATATTTTTAACCATTAATTATTTGTTATAATTTTGAAGTAGAATTATTTTTTATGTAATCGATGTTGCCCATAGAAATATTTCAAATGCAAATATTTATTTCAAATTATATAAAAAACAAACGCATAACGAGAGTGTTACATTGCATATTATCGTTTTATGTTCAAGGTTAGTCACTATTTAATTATATGGCTAATAGTTGGGTTTTTAGAGTATTGACATCGTCCTTTAATTATAATTATAAAACAATATTTGTTTTATTAATACTAAAAATAGATTTAAGGAAATAATTGCTCACTATTAATTCTCACTATTAATAGATTGATAAAAATTATCAGAATTCAATTTCAGACTTTAAAGGCAGAGTGTTTCGTTCTCACTGTGATATATCATTTTAAATGACGTGATCACTTTCATTTGAATTTACTAATTTTATAAAATCAATGTTAGTGCAGTTGATATAATTAAGCTATTACTTTGTTGTAGATTTTATTTAATTTTTATTTATTTATTTTATTATTATGATTGTATTATATATTATTCTTATATTATATTACATTATATATTATATTTTATTATTATTATTTCCATTCTTTATTCTCGCTTTGCGGGGTAAGTTTCTGAGGTGGGAGACCAGAAGTCCAGCCACTTCAGATTAATATCTATTACTTTTTAGATATTTAAAAACTTTCGAACAATACGTGCCGTATCCAAGAGAACTGAGTGTTGAGCCTCTTTCAGCACGTCAAGAGGTAATTTTAATCCCATCGTGCCTGCCACTGTTGTCTTTGGTATCAATCCATTGGAGGATATTATAATTGGAGTGGTGGTGACGTTCCCCAAATGATACAATTCCTTCAGTTCGATTGCCAGTTCCTGGTATTTTCTCAGTTTTTCTCCAACAGTGGAGCTTATATAATTATCATTGGGGATCCCAACATCAATAAGCTCTGCTCTTTTCTCTCTCATGTCTATCAAAAGGATGTCTGGTTTATTGTGACGCACAGTATGGTCAGTTATAATCGATTCATCCCAGTAGAGCTTGAGACTACCTTTTTGGAGGAGTTTATTTGGGTGGTACTTATAATATGGAGTTTTGTCATCTAACAAGTTGAACTTCACTGCCAGAGCCTGATGAAAAATTCTAGCCACATTGTTATGCCTCTGGAGATACTCGGTGCCAGCCAACACTCCACACCCACCTGTGACATGTTGGATTGATTCCAGCGTCGCTGAGCATAATCGACATTTATCCGTAGTTGTTGCGTCTTTAAGAACATGCCTTCTATATGATCTAGTATATTATTATATTATTATTATTATTATTATTTTTTATTTTTTCAATTCTCGGCTTTATGCCGAATAAATCCACTGACCCGGACCGAGGTCAAGGGTACAGTTTATTAACTATTTAATTTGAAATATTAAAAAAATTTCGAACAATGCTGGCGGTTCCCAGCATTACCGCTTTCTGGATTTCCTGAAGTTCCCAGCTTAATCCAAGTAGCTTAATTGATTTTAGTGTATCTTCAGGAATCAGGCCATTGCTGGATACGATAATGGGTAGTACTTTTACTTCCATCAGCCGGTATAACTGCCTTAATTCCTCGCAAAGCTCTTGATACTTCCGAATTATTTCACTTAATGTTTTAGCTACATTATCATCAGCAGGAACTCCAACTTCGATAATGATGGTTTTTTTTTTCTTTGTTAACGAGCAGTATATCTGGTCTATTGTGAGGAATACTATGGTCAGTTATCATAGTTTGATCCCAGTATAGCTTGACATTCCCTTTTTCTAATATAGCCTGCGGCTGATATCTATAAAAAGGCTGATGACCTGTTATTAATTTATATTTTTGTGCCAGTGCCTGATGCACGATTTTTTCCGCATTATTATGTCTCGCTGGGTATTCTTTACCAGCTAATGCATGGCAGCCACAGGTAACATGCTGAATCGATTCATTTGTGGCTTTACATAGACGGCATCTGTCATCGACTGCTTCATGTAGAATATACTTCCTGTAGCAGGATGTTACCATTACCTGTTCTTGTATTGCCAGAAGGAATCCCTCTGCCTCTGGGAACATTTTTACTGTAGTCAACCAACGGACTGAGGCTTCTAAATTTATGCCAGGTGTTTTCAGGGAATTGTAAAATCTTCTATGAAGTGATTTACACTTCCATGATTCTGTGAGGCTCTCCTCAGTAGGCATTGTCATTGGTCCTTGCCGAAACATATTAAGTGCTGTATAGTTGCAGTGAAGTCCCGTCCTTAATAAGCGGTCCATGTTTTACAAATCCGTGTCGCACCATTTCATTATTCCAAAGGAATATGTGACAGCAGGAATCGTCCAGGTATTATTTATTATTATTATTATTTATTTATTTCATTATTATTATTTTATTTATTTATTTTATTTTATTTGTTATAGAATTTATTGTTATAAGGTTGTATAATTTTTAATTTTTGATAATAATTTTTGTAATTGATGGATGAATCAATGAATACAAGATAAAAGAAAATGGATTGTTGTAAAATATTATTTATTGTTAGAAACTGCCATATTTTTCTTTATTGATAAAATTTCGAATCTTTTGCTGTATGGTTATTTGACATTGTAGTTCAATACCGTACGTATTTTATTACATGCAGTGTATCCCGTAAGTAGAATTTTTATAGGAATTTTAAGTGGAAATTTTTATAGGAGTGATAGCAGACCTCAAGAGAAACAAAAAAAATTAATATAAACAATACAAATTTTCAGCAGAAAAATAGGAAATCCTAGTTTTGTCGTTTTTTAAGTGAGTCATGTTTTTTATTGAATCGAAAGCAATAACTAAAGAAATATTTCATTAAGGTAATTAATAATTGCCTAATTGTAAACAAGATGGAATTTACTTTAAATGAACATGGAGTTTTTCATTGGCGCAAATGCTACTCTGAGTACTGAGTTGTAAGTATTTTACTCGAATAATGACCTTTAATTTAATTACCAAAGAATTTAATTACAACTTCAGTTGATGTCAAACGATTAACTGAAGTAGTGATTTAATTTCCACTAGCGATACGATTCGACTAAAACACTTGTGCTCGATACTCAAGAGTTGCATTTGCCCATCTCTGCTCTTGAGCGGCTAAACTATGCCGCAAACAAGAAAGTTCTGTTTTTAGAAAAATCATAAATTATTCGCCATTTTTTTTTATCATCATCAAACTATACTATAGTTACTCCACTTTTACAAAAACTTCTCCGTTTAATGAGCATTAAGTTTGCATTAATTAAGATGATGTTTATTAGGGAAAAAATTGAGATTCAGCTCAAGTTTTGTTAAAAAATGATGTCTAAAAAAAAAGAATTTGTCTTTGTTAAAACTATCTAAAAGGAACTTTGGAGCGGCTAAACACAGCTAAGTCCCGTTGAAAAAAAAAAGTAAAAAATTATTTGTTATTTTTTTTTAAT